CAGTTATCTCCACTCCCTAACCAGCCTTGTCATTTTAATTTTTCACAGGCTCTCTCTTTTTTTTTTTTTTTTTTCCCTCTCTCCACGAGTCTGTGCCTGTATCTTGGTGAAGTCTCATCAACTCTGGCCCAAAGCCGTAGGCTAATTTGTCTGGCACACAGCTCCCTCTCTGCCTCAGAAGTCAGAGGAGAAGGGAAAACCCACTGCCACAAAAGAAAACTTGCTCACAGCAGCATCTAGGGATTCTCACAGGCCAGGCGTTGTGGGCTAAACTAACACACCAGTTCAGCCATCTTGTCGGTTGCAACCGTGTGAGCGTTCAAGTGCTAGTGGCCACAGGGCTCCAGGTAGCTGCAGATATTTTTATTCTCCATGGGTGAGATCCTGGCCCCACTGAAGCCCATGGGCATTTTGCTATTGACTTCAATGGGGCCAGGATTTCAGCCCATGTCTTCCAACCCTGCTCAGAGCAGGCTGCGGTGCTTAAGGCTGGGATTGTCAAAGGAGTTAACTGCTCAACTCCCATTAAAATTCAAGGGCAGGGGGTGTCTTGCTCTCTTAAGCTTAAATTTCCAAAAAAGCCTAAAACCCTGCTGGCACCTTGTCTACACTAGGGCTGCAAGAGAGGGAAAGTGCTAGTAGAGAGAAGGCCATAGGCTCTGATAACAGAATTCCTTGCAGTTGGGCCAGGAGCCTTAGCTACTTGAACCTCACTTCAGAATCTTCCTTCAACTTGACCCATCCCCTCCAGACCCAACACCTCAACTTGTGCAACACAACCACCTCCCAGCTCTCTTCTCTGGTCAGGCTGGCTTTTGCTTTCCTACTCTAAGGAAAACTTTACTCCTCCCCGCTTCTCTCTCCCTCTGCCCACATCATCCTCCTCCCCAGGCTTCATGAGTGGGCTTGTTTCTCCTCAGCGCTTTGGTCTTGCCTCCTCCGACTCACTCCTGCATCTTCTGCAATCTGGCATCTGTCCTCTCTGCTCCACCAAGACTGCCCTCCCAGAAGTCTATAATTATGTTTCCTCTTCCTTCCAAGCCTGAGGTTCTCCCTTTATTCTCATTCTCCATGATGCCTATGTCACCATGGCTGGTGCTTCTCTTGAGACTCCCTTTTCTTTTGGCTGCTGTGACTTTGTCCTTTCCTGGTTCTCTTTCTCCCTCGCTAACCATTCTTTCAGCGTTCCCTTTGGTGGAACCTCTTCCTTCCCACCTCCCTTCTCTGCTGATGCTCCCAATGCGTCTGTCCTTGTTCCCTGCATTTCCCCCCTCTACACTCACTCACACAAAAATTAATGGGGCAAAAGGCAAGCGCAGAAAGTGGATCTGTTTGCACAGAATTCAATGGCACTTTTATTTATGTGCATGGTGTGAAGATAACACGATGAAGGGCATGTCATAAATGCAGATACCATAGATAGTGAGTCAGTGAGAGGAAGCATGATCTTATCCCATCTATGCTAGGTTCTTATATGGCCCCCATCACCATAGTATCTGAGCAAATCAGATCGTAATAAATGTATCCTCTCAACACCCCCATGGAGGCAGGGCAGGGCTATTATCCCTGTTTTACAGATAGGGAACTGAGGCACAGAGAGACTAAGTGACTTGCGCAAGGTCACACACAGGAAGTCTGGGGCACAGCAGGAATTCCATCTGGGTCTCCCACAACCCAGGCTAGCACTTTAGCCATTGGACCATCCTTCCTCCTTGAGTTAAGACCCTGGGCTAGGACTCAAGATATTTGGGTTCAATTCCAAGCTCTGCCACAGACTTCCTGTGTGGCTTTGGATACGTGTATTGATCTCTGTTCTTCCCTTGTAAAGCTGGGATGATAGTGCTTCCTTTGTCTATTTAAGGTCTTCAGAGCAGGGACTATGTCTGTGCAATGCCTAGCAAAATAGGGTCCCAATCTCAGCTGAGGTTTCCAGGGGTTACTGCTATAATATTTATAAAGATCAATTGTAGAACTGGTGTTATGTAACCCACACACCTCCTGGGTTTGGGGTTCTGTCCCATCTAGTGGCACCGAGACCACTTAGAGAGCGAGGTTAATGAATCTGCTCTACAACCTTAGCTAAGAGCCAGTTGGCTTTTAGCTCATGCACTAAGCTCCAGAGGTCCCAGGTTCGATCCCGACGACCAGGGTCTGTTGGTGTTACAGTTACAGCAAACTTAATTCAGGCTCATGAACACCTATTGTCACTTCTTCCCTCTCTCTGATCAGCTTATGGTACCTTCTTTCCTAAAACCAAGTAATTACCCCCCTCCACGCCTTCCTCTTTATCCAGGGTTTGCTTCCTGTTTGCAGCTCACCATCTCCTTTCGCTATCACACAAGCTTAATGGGCAATGTCATTCACTTGAGCTAACCCATAGCACTGCTGGAAATTAAGAACAACAACTCTGTGCTTAACTATGTTTTTATCCCTGCTCATTACAGCCCTTAAAGATCTAGACATGCAAGACATTATATATTCTGTTAAACAAAATATGGAATAAATACAAGAATTTTGAATTAAGGGATTAATTAAAACCCTTAAGTGTTACTGATATGTACAATTTTTCAGATAGAAGGTTGTGCTGTTCAAGTTCTGCATACCATTTATATTCAGTATTCAGATACTACTTTTGCATATTATTTGCATACATTCTGACATTTGTAATTACATACTTTTTGCACCTGCACTGTTCAGCTGTGATTTAGACACTTAGGAGTAGAGTTACTTAAGGAGGGGGGGAAGGGAGAAGTATATTTATAATATGCAGAATGCTTCTTCCACCACGTCAAGGCATCTGCAATAGGCTGTGTTGGATGAGGGGCAGGCAATGGTGTCCAAATCATCGGATTTCGGCTGAATGTCTTTCCAAGTGCTAGCCTCTTGTTCAGCCCCCAGGTCACTGGGTCCCATCCTGTTCATTTACATAGTAAGGGAGAATAATTCTGGCCGCTGCAGGACTTGGGTAAAATTCTACAATCTGTGTGATGCAGGAGGCAGAAAGGATGGTCCCTTCTGGCCTTCAAATCCATGGGCCTGATCCTTAGCTGGTGGGAATCTGCACCGCTCCATTTAAGTCAGGTAAGGATCTGCCTCATTAATGAAGCTACCCTGGTTTACACCACCTGAGCATCTGTCCCGATGAAACTATGAGCCTGGGGTGGTGCAGGAGCGAGTGTGGGTGAGTCTACATGTGACTGACAGTTCTCTGACCCAATCCTGGACCAGCACCCCAACATGAACATAAGGAGGCCCTGGTGCTGCTGTAAATGCCTTCTTTCAGAGGAGACATACAGGAAAGCCAGGACCACGTATGGGCCTTCCTATAAAAATAGGGCCCAGCACTAGAATCGTAGATGACCTGGAATAAGCCTGGGCAGAGTTAGTGCCTGCTTCTAGTTCAGGTGCTTCAATTTCCTTTATGGCTAGTGGCCATCAAAGTCCAGTAGCAACCTGGGCACTTTTAAGCCTTTTCTAGTCTCACCTACTTAAAATAATACAATGTGAGGGTCTGCATGGCCGAGCAGACAGGGAATCCATCTGGGGAGATCTCTGCTAGCCAGCATCCTCTCATGGCTGTGAAAGGTGTAACAGCATCTCTGCCTCAGTTTCTCCCCGCACACACACACACACACTCCACCAACAGTCGTTTGACCATGTTCTGAGTGGCGTCTTCTTATAACTCCTGCCGACAGGTCATTTATAGTTTCTCCCCTTCCAGGCCAATAGCATCTGATAGACCAGGAGTCCAGTGACCCTAGCAAAGGGTTGAGAATCCCAAGCCCCCGCAGAGTCCTTGTTAGAATATAGATACGCAGGCCTGCCTGTAAAGGCCTATACTTTACGAATGTAGGTGTATTTCTATCACTTAGATAGTTATACAGGTATAAAACAAAGAATTAAAATCACAAGTCTGCCTCTGTATGAGCCTTCTCTCACTAGGATAGTCTGAGGCCTTGTTCTTAGGCTAAGCAGCAGGGCCAGCCATAAGTTGGGAAGCGTACGGTCACGTCCTCACATTTCAAACCAGTCACATGGAAATAAGGTGGTACTGGGCTGTTAGGAAGACGATCCTGTCCTGATAGTGCCCATCACCACCAGATAAAGAAAATGGTTAAAGAAAACTTAGTTTAATAGCAATAAATCTGTCTGGCAAGAAATCACTTATCAGTGGTTGTGAAACCCTCATTTCTGTATTGTTTTATCTTTACGGCCCCCACTTTTCTATTGTTAATCTGTCTGGTTCTCTAATTGTTTCTGTCTGCTGTATAATTAATTTTTCTAGGTGTAAGTTAATTAGGGTAGTGGGATATAATTGGTTAGAGAATTATGTTACCATATGTTAGGATTGGCTAGTTAAATTTCAGTAAAATGATTGGTTAAGGTATAGCTGAGAATATTACTATATAAACTGGGGTTAAACAGGAAGTGGGTGGGAAAATTGGAATCATGCTTGCTGGAAATTAACCCCAATAAACACTGCATTGTCTGCACTTCGGCCTTCTGGTCTTTTGCTGCTTGTTGTGTGTGTGACAAAAACCAGGGAAGTGGGAGGGTGGAGGGAAAGCCCTCTAACAGGCCTGAACCCTTTAGTCCTAGGGGTTTTACTATCTCCTTTGCAGGGAATGATAGAACAGGGACCGGCAACCTTTGGCACGCGGCCCTTCAGGAAAACCCGCTGCCGGGCCGGGCCGGTTTGTTTACCTGCAGCGTCCGCAGGTTCGGCCGATTGCAGCTCCCACTGGCCGCGGTTCGCCATCCCCAGCCAATGGGGGCTCTGGGAAGCGGCGTGGGCCGAGGGATATGCTGGCCGCCGTTTCCCGCCGCCCCCATTGGCCTGGAACAGCGAACCGCGACCAGTGGGAGCTGCGATCGGCCGAACCTGCGGATGCTGCAGGTAAACAAACCGGCCCGGACCGCCAACAGATTTCCCTGATGGGCTGTGTGCCAAAGGTTGCTGATCCCTGGACTAGATGATCACAATGGTACCTTCTAGGCTTAGAATCTATGAATCAGACCAGCCTCCCAGTTCATTATTATTATTAACAATAATGGCAGTGGCCATGATGTGCGAGGCATTTCCAAACATTCAAGAAGGGAAGGCTGCTGTCCTGAGGGGTTCACAGGGTAAGCCCCCAATTCAGCAGAGCAGCTTCTGAGTTTTAAGCCATTGCTTAAATCCATCTCTATTCAGGAAAGTACTGAAGCATATGCTTAAGCCACAATGAAGTGGTACATATGCACCTGCTTTTCTGAATAGGGATGGATTTAAGTACTTTGCTAAATCAGGGACTAAGGAGAGCAGGATAACAAACGATAGACAGATAAGATGTACTGCTTTAACCACTAAGAACATGTCTTCACTGTTAACTGTCCTAAAATGTTTGCAAGTGCTAACATGCTTTTTCTGACCACACTAGTGGAAGAAGCATCTCAAGTTCCCATGTTCCAATGGATTCCCTCCCCGAAAATGTTTCATGTTGATGGTGCCACAGCTCATCCTTTCCCTTACACAGCTCCTCAAGATCCCACAGCAGTCTCCTGCCTCTCTCTGTTCACATTCTGGGGCACAGGTTCCCCTCCTCCCATCTCTTTTCCGCGGGTGCAAGCAAACAGCTGCTGATGGGTATCCTTCCAGTCACAGAACTCCTTGGCGCCATGCTGCTGAAGTTCCAGAGAACCCCACAGAGCTGTTCTTCCATGTAATGGACGGCTGCTGTCATGTTTCCTAGTCATGGATAAGTTCTCTCTACTCTTCCTTTTATGTTCAACAGTACTTATCTTCCGCATTGACATGGCTTTAACCGTCTCTTGGTGCAACTCCTTTATCTGTCTCGCTGTGTTTCCTGGTACTCCATTTGCTTCCGTATCTGCAAGAGAAAATTCCTTTATTCTTTACCTTACTAGTAGGTCCCTGTCTTTTTCTTCCCTTCCTGTTTATGTCTCTGCCCCATTCTAGAGCCTTTTGCTAACTGAAGTGTGGTGGTCACTGGAAAATGACTGTTAAAGGGAAATTGCACTTTAATTAGTAGACTCTATAACAGGGTTCTCAAACTGGGGGTCGAGACCCCTCAGGGGGTCACAAGATTATTACATGGGGGGTCGTGAGCCGTCAACCTCCACCCCAAACCCTGCTTTGCCTCCAGCATTTATAATAGTGTTAAATATATTAAAAAGTGTTTTTAATTTATAAGGGGGGGGGTTGCACTCAGAGGCTTGGTATGTGAAAGGGGTCACCAGTAAAAAAGTTTGAGAGCCACTGCTCTATAAGAATCTTTAAACATATATTGAATATCTATTAGTCATTTATTAACCCCTTATAAGCAAGTTGTAAAAATATATTGATATAAAACATACCAGCAATTAAATATCTCCACACTTAACACAAATTATTCATATGACAACAGTTGTTTTTCTCACATTTTATATTAAGGTGCCATTCACAAATAGATTCTAAAAGGTTAATCATTGATTAATAGATGTTTCAATATATGGGGTAAAGATTGGTATGAAGTTCAACGGGCTAATAGGTTGCTTATGACCACCCATAACACAGAGCATTCATGTCTGTTACATGCAGCTAGTAATCATTTATTAACCCTTTGTGAGCCATTTCTAAATGGAAGCCTACTATAAAGCATGAACCTTTTCCCCCTGCGGTGTTTGGAACTCAGACAAGGCAGCGCAAGGGACATGAAAAAGAAAATGATTAAAAGACGAAAGTAATGTTAACTGAAAACACAAACAGGAAACCGGAATCATTGATTTTCATTATCCAAAGCGGAAAATGCAAAAAGCAAGCATTCTTAATAACCTACAGTGTTATCGGGCACAGAGGTAAAGCAACTGGTTTTGTGACAACATATGACTTTTGAGCTGACATTGTCTTCTAAAGCTCCACTCCTGCATTGGGGTGCATGCAGGCAGACTGCTTCTTACTCTTATTTTGGGTGCTTTGTACAGTTGCTAAAATCTTTGCAAAATAAATAAATAAAAAAATCCAGGTATATGCTTCTGATGCAGATCTAGGCCATGTCTACATGACCTGCTAAGTCGGCACCGCTGTGATCGATGCAGCGGTGCCGATTTAGCGGGTCTGGTGAAGACATGCTAAATCAATGGGAGAGCGCTCTCCCGTCAACGCCGGTACTCCCCCTCCCCAAGAGGCGGAAGGTATGTCAATGGAACAGCATCTCCCATTGACATAGCGCGGTGTAGACACTGCTGTAAGTCAAGCTAAGTTACCTCGACTTCAGTTTCGTAACGTACGTAACTGAGCTAGCGTAACTTAGATCGACTTACAGTGTTAGAATAGACCAGTCCCTAGTCTTATTTCACCTGCCCCAGGTGACATCTGCTCTGCAAGGGGCTGGCCAGTCACAGAACAGAGAGCAGGAGGAAGAGGAGGTAGTTGTTAGTGTATGTTGTCTACCCACATATCAAGTTTAAGGGGATGGAGGCAGAGGCAACACATGGGGCGGTCACGTGTCCCCACAAAACCTTCCAATTGTGCCCCTCCCTACTGTCTACAGTTATCTGGCAGGGACCTTGGGGACTTCTTTGCCTTCCTCTGTAGCATGAAGCAAGGATTGTCTGCTGGGGTCATCTGGGCATATCCCACCCTGCCATTGCATGGGCATCGCGCATGGTGGCACCTCGGACTCTCCTGGGCTTTGCCTGTGGCACACAATGATTTAGGTTCCTGAGGACTGAAACACTTTTTCTAACTAAAGTTGTTGGGTTCCATATAGGGGTATCTGGGTGAAATTTAATGACCTGCAATATAGAATCATAGAACTGGAAGGGACCTCGAGAGATCATCTGGTCCAGTCCCTTGCACTCAAGGCAGGACTAATATACAGGAGGTCGGACTATGATGCACTTTAACCAGCATGATATATCTTTAGCAAAACAACCAACCTACAGCATGTGCATTTAGGGCCCCTCATGGGTAGGTCCCACCCATGTTAGGAAAATGTGCTCTGATTGGTGCAGTTACCCTGGCACAGACCCCAAATGAAGATGTGCTACACTGGCACAAAGCAAATTAAGCCACAGTAGTATAGAGGGCATTGGTCAGGGACTTGGGCATTCTAGTTCTGGCTTGGCCATAGACCTGCTGTGTGACCTTGGGCAAGTCACTTAATCTACCCTGTGCCTATCAGAAAGATAGGGATAATGGCACTTCCCCATTTCCCAGAGCTGTCGTGAGGATGAAATCTATTTACAATGAAGGAAGCCATATAAGTACACAAATAGACAAGTGTAAGACCTGGTATAGAGAGAAAACGTTAGGGGTCCATACTGACGTAGTGGTGACACTGGTGCATGATCTTTTAATATAGCTAAGTCCTTATGCTGTATTTGATTTATATCAAGTTCTTTTCAGACTGGTGATGTCCTTATCTCTTTTATGGCAAACAGGGGTCTTGTCAAGCAAACCTGATCTCATTTTTTGAGGGCATTACAAGTTTGGTTCATAAAGGTAACTGTGTAGATGGAATCAGACTTAGACTTTTTGTAAGATTTAGTACCGCACAACATTCTGATTAAAAAATGAGCACTATACCCTATCACTAAAGCACCTGATAAATTGATCAGTCTGGTGAACTGACAGATCTCCAAATATAGTTGCCAACAGGGAATCGCCATCAAACGGGGTGTTTCTAGTGGGGTTCTGCAGGGATTGGTACTAGGCCTGACACTGTTCAACACTTTCATCAATAAATGGGAATAAATTTAAAATCGGTGCTGATAAAATTTGTGGGTGACACAAAGATTGGTGGAGTGGTACATAATCACAAGGATAGGGCAGTCACACAGAGCAAGCTGAATCGCTTGGAAGGGGAAATCATTCAGACAATGCATTTTCTTTTAATACAGACCAATGCAAAGTTATACATCTAGGAACAAGGAATGGAGGCCATACTTAGACCAGAGGAGTGTATCCTTGAAAAAAGTGACTCTGAAAAGGATTTAGGGATCATAGTGGACCTAGCTTCCAGTGCAATAGTGTGGCAAAGCGGCTAATGAAATCCTTGGATGTATAAACAGCGGAGTAGTGAATAGGAGCAGGGATCTGATTTTACTGCTGTATTTGGCATTGCTGAATTGGATAGTGGAATACTGCATGCCGCTCTGGTGCACACCTTAAAAAACATGTTGAAAAATTGGAGAGGGTGCAGAAAAGAACCATAAAAATGATTTAAGGGCTGGAGAAATGCCTTCCAGTGAGAGACTCGAAAGAACTGAGTCTGTTTAACTTCTCAAAAAGAAAACTGAAAGGTGACTTTGATTGCCGTTCATAGGTAACTTCATGGGGAGAAATATTGGGCACTAAAGGGCTCTTCAATCTAGCAGAGAAAGGTAAATAAAGAGTCACTGGCTGGAAGCTGAAACAAGACAAATTTAAATTAGAAATAAGGCATCATTTTTTAGCAGAGAGAGAAGACATCTCTGGATGTCTTCAGGTCCAGACTGGATGGCTTTTGGGAAATTGTGCTTTGGTCAAGCACGAGTTATTGGGCACAATACAGGCATAACTAGGGGGAGGGATAGCTCAGTGGTTTGAGCATTGGTCTGCTAAACCCAGGGTTGTGAGTTCAATTCCTGAAGGAGCCACTTAGGGATCTGGGGTAAAATCAGTACTTGGTCCTGCTAGTGAAGGCAGGGGACTGGACTCAATGACCTTTCAAGGTCCCTTCCAGTTCTAGGAGATAGGATATCTCCATTAATTTAATAACTAGGTGAAATTTAATGGCCTGTGTTATACAGGAGGTCAGACCAGATGATCTACTGGTCCCCTTTGGCCTAGAATCTATTGGTATACCCACCATCACCATCAGTATTGTCGCACTGCCTAAGGCCCCAGTACCATTGTGTTGGGCCCTGTACAAATATATAACAAAGGGATGGTCCTCTACCCAGAAGATGTTGTAATCTAAGTCGTATTCATGATCACAGAAATAATAATAAAGATCCCAAACATCTCATTGGATTAGAAATATGGGATTTCTTCACAGGGAAAAAAATGGAAGGGAGAAACTAAACAAAAATGACTGTAGCTTTGATTGTCTCTCGCTCCAAAACCAACATTATTTTAAATAAGGGGAAATCAAACATTAGGCATTTCAAGTCACACACATTAAATTCGCTTAAGATATTGTTATCCTTGTTTAGATTTGAACATATCGGGGAATCTCTTTGTCTTGCAACAATTCCTAAAAGACTGTAAGTGGCTGGATTTCCTTTTTCTGACAAAAATCTCTCCATGAATTATTTACACGATGGCTCCAATCAACACTGTTCCTGTCAGCCTCCCCAGCCGAAATGAAAGTTCACTATGTAAAGGTGCCAAGGGAATATGGCAGCCTCCCACTGCGAGTTTATAGACAGAACTAAGTCAGCACACATTATGTGTCAGAGCCGACATCAGACGGAATCAGATCCTTTGATCTCAGACCTCCACAGGAAGCTTAGATCTCAGACAAATTAGATAAAAAATGAATTTATATGTATCCTAGGGCACACAGTTGAATGCTGTATTTTGGAGAAGTGTGGCAAATATCAAAACATATAAACTGCAGCATTTCCTCTCTCTCTCTCTCCCTCTGCTTTTGTGATGGACACTAATTAAAATAAGAAGACGAAACTCAAACTAGCCTCTTATGCAATCCACAAAATTTAGGGGAGGAGGTGGAAAAAATACCCAGTGCCAGAATACGTGTGTGGATCAGTCAGGGTTCCAGGATGGGCTGAGAAATGGACTCAGATCCTTGCTCTTAACAGGCGACAGCTGGAGGAGCCCATCCAAGTTTGTAAAGGTGGAAGCCAATACTTTTTGCTGTTTGGTGCAGCCCGATGCCCGCTGCACAGCCCTAAAGGTATCTGCTTTGGCTGAGACCTCAGAGGGAGTTGTGTTTGATCAGTAAATCATTATGAGAAAAGATTACTCTGTCCCCCCCAAAAAAATGCTAGCGGAGCAAAACAAGGAAAAACAGGGGAATGGGACTGCTTTTTGACTTGTGGTTTTATATAGCTGGTCAAAACATGCAACCGTGAAAAGGCCTACAGAAAAGGGACAGCAATGAAAATGTCTGGCATGGACAGTATGAAAACGTGCCCGGACTGACTCAGAAGTATGCATGATGCATATTAGAATAATCATCCCCAAATTAACTTACCTTGGTAACAATGGCTTTCATCCTGAAAGCTCCTAGAGTGCTTTATGATTAGTGTATACTAGCTATGCATATGTTCTATTATTGTTAATCACTTAGGCCTGGTCTACACTGGGGGGGGGGGTCGATCTAAGTTACACAACTTCAGCTACGTGAATAATGTAGCTGATGTTGACGTACTTAGATCGACTTACCGTGGTGTCTTCACTACTGTGAGTCGACTGCTGCCACTCCCTTGTCGACTCTGCCTGTGCCTCTCGCCCTGGTAGAGTACAGGAGTCGACGGGAGAGCGCTCGGGAATCGATTTATCGCGTCTAGACTAGACGTGATAAATCGATCCCCGCTGGATTGATCGCTGCCCATCGATCCGGCCGGTAGTGAAGACATACTCTTATATTGCAGTAGCATCTAGCAGCCTGAAAAGGCTGAGGCCCACTTGTCCTATGCGCTTTATGAAACTGACATTGACAAAACTGACACTGAATTGAATGGGGTCAGGATTTCACCCACAAATTCTATAGACACTTAAAAACTGAACCACACATTTACTCTCCTGTAAATTTTCAGGTCAGAGAGAGAATTCATACAGTAAATAGCAGTCCCTGTCCCAGTCTAAATGACAAAGGGTGAAATCACGGCTATGGCTGGGCAAATTACTGATATTTTTAGTTCACTGGCAATTTTGAAAAAAGGTCACCAAAAATCTGTTTTGGGTCAGGCTGAAAATAAACTTTAAAAAAAAAATCAGCAAATTGAAAAGCTGAGAAAAAAAATTGTTTTGGGTCAAACAAAATCTTTCATTTTGATTTTGACCGTTTAAAAATGTTTTTGAATTAAAAAAAAAATAAAAGTAAAGGAAATATTTTAAAAACTCAAAGCGTTTTGTCAATGTTGAAATCAAATGTTGAAGGTTGCGTACATTGTTTTTGTTTTCTAAACAAACTGGTGAAACTGACACATATTTGTGAAACATTTTATTGTCACCTAATCTTCATTTTTCACCCCAAAAAAGTTTTGGTAAAAAATGTTTTGCCCTGCCCTTATCCTGGACCCATAAACTAGCTGTGTGCACAATTCCTAGCCAATCAGCAGTAGCATCAGTCATAGTAATCTCAAACATCCAGCTATTGGTAAAACTGTTAAAAACACCTAAGTGACTTAGAAGCCTACATCCCAGATTCAAAAGCAATTTAGGGCATGTGCACACTTCAACTGGGGATGTAATTCCCAGCGCAGAGACATACTCACTCTAGCTCTGATCAAACTAGTATTGTAAAAACAGACTGTAGAGGGGGTGGCTCGAGCAGCAGGAAGGACCAGCCATCCCGAATATATACCTGTCCGAGGTGCTAGGCACATACTCGCACTGCTAGCCCCTCCCACTGCTTGCACGGCGGCAGCTACACTTCTGTTTTTAGCACGCTGGGTTGATCAGAGCTAATGCAGGTCTGTATCCTTGATCAGGGAATTATATTTCCAGCCGGAAGTGTAGATGTACCTGTCGGCACTTAGGAGCCCAAGTCCCATTGATTTTAATGAGATTTAGGAACCTAAGGGCTAGATTCACAAAAGGCACTTAGGTTTCAGAGCAGTAGCCGGGTTAGTCTGCATCAGCAAAAACAACGAGGAGTCTTTGTGGCACCTTAGAGACTAACAAATTTATTTGGGCATAAGCTTTCGTGGGCTAAAACCCACTTCATCAGATGCATGGAGTGGAAAATACAGTAGGCAGGTATAAATACACAGCACATGAAAAGATGGGAGTTGCCTTACCAAGTGGAGGGTCAGTGCTAACGAGGCTAATTCAATTAGGGTGGATGCGGCAACTTTTAGGCACGTTGCTACCTAGTAGAATTCAGAACCCTGGGTTAGGTGTCCAAGCCCCCTACACAGTGCATGGGGAGAGATACACACCTGAGAATGGGATTCACAAAAGCCAGCATGCTGAGCGGGGAGCCATCTAAACCAATCAATAGAAAATACTGAGCAGAGGGTGTTGCCTAAGCACCATCCCTCAAAGGGAGTTGGCACTGTAATCTCTTTGGGGCAGGGATTGCCACAATGTTTGTAACTTGTAAGCGCTGAGCACATTGACGGTGCCAAAGAGAGTATAAACAATAATGATATTCAGATCCAGGGTGACATTTTTCAGGCAGGCTTATTTTTGATTTGTAAATGGAACAAATTTGGTCTGGATTATTTGAGAGGGAATAAACATACTATGGTGATGGGAGTCATCAAAGTACCAAGACAGAAGGAACCCCACAACGTCGTTGTTACAGTTGCCATTTTGCCTATAGTCTCACTTCAAAGTGACCACTTGCAATTGATTTTCTGGAACACGGTGCCCATCGGGACTATCTGTTGCCAATATAGGCTGATTCTGTCACTCACATGTCAGTTTTGCCAATAACATAAACAGATATGATCTGAAAACACACGCAACAGATTGTTTGAGCAAATAAGCCATTTTTACATGGCCTTTTTTCTGACTATAACCATATTTAAGCAACGTTTTCTCTTCAATTTTGGAAGAGATGCTCGGAAACTGAGGATTTAAATAAAAAACAAAAAAACCTGTATGGGTTAAATCTTGGCTTCATTGAAATCAGTGGCAAAACTGACACTGGGTGAAATCCTGACACCGTTCAATTCATAACTTCTATAGACATTTAAAAATTGAACCACACATTTACTCTCCTGGACATTTTTCAGTTCAGAGAGAGAATTCATTTGTAGTAATCAGCTCTATTAATGTAGTAATCAGCTCTAGTGGTGCAAGTGATTCATCCATCTATCTAGGCCAGATCCTTAACCTGCAAAATTATAACTTCAGTCTACACAAGCTCATAGCTTGTAAGGTGCGTGAAGATCTTTGTGGTTGAAAGCGGCTTTAGAAATGTGAGTTATTCTCATTCTGCAGGCTCACCTCCTTCTATCCCAGCAATGTCTCTTTTTTTCTCTTCCCGGGCATGGTGCAGATTGGCACGAGTTGAACGCTGCTGTGGCGGGATCTGGGAGGATTTCATATTGCTCTTTGCTTGTGGTACATTAGCCTGTTCAATCTTTGTTTCTGTATTGAAATAAACAGTTACATCATTCTTAGTCCATTCAGGGCTCAGAGCCAGATACAGTATTACTTTAAGAAACAATCTATTGCTCGTGAATTGGCATCTAATCTTGTGTGCGTTCTCTCTGCCCAAAAGGGGGAGGCTTATTTTATGATTACACTTCATTGCATTTTACCTTTAGGGATCACATTTCTTCACTTCAGCAAAACTCTGTCTTCAGAGCCTCACGGTATACATTGGGCATCATTAGAAACTCAGGCTGGTCACAGCCAAGACTACTACACAGTGTAACTCAGGAGTGAAGCTTTAAACCATTTTTGGGCTTCCCCATTCCTGAGCTATTTGCGTACTGGAGTCATTCCCCAGCATAGGTTAGCACACTTTGAAGGCTGCTCAAATTATGCCATCTGACTGTGACGGCAACTGGGGACTGCTGGCATGCAGAAAAGTCCTGACCATGCTCTGTTTCTCTCCAGCCATTCCTCTTACACTGGCAACTCTAGACCTGAGGATATTTCTGCTCTGGGGCACTCCTCCTGAAGCTATGCCAGTTTTAGGGCCACAAGGTAGAAGGCATCCTTAAGTTATAACCTGGGCCTTTATATTTGCCACATCACATTGAGTTGCCTCATTATTTCCTATTCTAAATACAGGGGAAATACAGGGGCCAAGATTAAAAAAAAACCAGGAGCCTAAAATTAAGTTTCTAAATCCCGATTTAGACACCTAGATAAGTGACCTGGAATTTCAAAGGTGCTGAGCTCCCACTGACTTCAGTACCATTGCTCCAGTACAAGGGAGAGGAGAATATGGCCTGATCTGATTTTTAAAATTGCCCAGTTTGGATAAAAAGGAAGTAACAACGTGCAATTGAGCTGTAGAGTGCTCTGCTTGGGTGCCCTGTACTTAAAGCACTGGGCTGGGATTCAGGAGACCTGTGTTCAATTCCTGGCTATACTCCCTGCATGACATCTTGGAAATACGACTTTCCAAAGTGCTCAGCAGTTACCACTGATGACAGTTTTGGCACCATTGAAAACCTGGCTATTACTCTCTGTGTGCCTCAGCTGCCCATCTTGAGAGTGGGGATCAAAATGCTTCCTTTGTCAGTGATTGTCAACTCTTTGGGGCAAGGACTAGCTGTCTTATTATGTGTATGAACAGTGCCTAGCACAATAAGACCACGATCTCTGCTGGAGTCAGCTGAGTTCCACTGAGTCAGGCCCAATGTGTACAAGAGATATGAACAATGTCAATAATACCAGCCCAGCCTGCCTTACCATTATTACAGAACTCTTTAAGGATCACTCTTTAGACACCAGTGAAATGGGAGAGACTCTGCAGATGGAGAGCTCTCCTGGGGATTCCCACTTACTGAAACTTTTGCTTTTCTTGGACCAGCAGAATACAAGAAGACCCATAACTAGCACTGAAGCCACTGAGCCCAGCACAGCAGCAAGGACCGTGATGGATTTCTCTCCCTTGGGGATAGGGAAGATGGTAAATGGCTGGGACTCAACAGTGAAGTCAGCACCTGAGAGAGGAAAATATGTCAGATTATTACAACATTTAGGAAACATGTTTCATAGCCAGAACACCTGGTTATGGCCACTAACACAGGAACTGATGTTTGAAAATACATTCATGAAAGGGCCTAAATCACAGCCCAATGAAGTCAATGGGAGTTTTTCCATTCATAGAATCATAGAATCTTAGAATATCAGGGCTGGAAGGGACCTCAGGAGGTCATCTAGTCCAACCCCCTGCTCAAAGCAGGACCAATTCCCAACTAAATCATCCCAGCCAGGGCTTTGTCAAGCCGGGCCTTAAAAACCTCCAAGGAAGGAGACTCCACCACCTCCCTAGGTAACCCATTCCAGTGCTTCACCACCCTCCTAGTGAAATAGTGTTTCCTAATATCCAACCTAGACCTCCCCCACTGCAACTTGAGACCATTGCTCCTTGTTCTGTCATCTGCCACCACTGAGAACAGCTGAGCTCCATCCTCTTTGGAATCCCCCCTCAGGTAGTTGAAAGCAGCTATCAAATCCCCCCTCATTCTTCTCTTCTGGAGACTAAACAATCCCAGTTCCCTCAGCCTCTCCTCATAAGTCATGTGCTCCAGACCCCTAATCATTTTTGTTGCCCTCCGCTGGACTTTTTCCAATTTTTCCACATCCTTCTTGTAGTGTGGGGCCCAAAACTGGACACAGTACTCCATTGACTTCCACAGGCCCTGGATCAGGCCCAAACAGAACATGTAACGAAACCTTTCTTGAACTGACAAAGCTGCTAGATTCATAGATTCATAGATTCATAGATTCTAGGACTGGAAGGGAC